TGCCTCAGCCTCACTCATGTTTGTTGTGAGCCTCCACATCTGGTTATGGAAGTCATAAAAATGACTATATCTTTTGGCCTACTAATCCAACTTCTGAGTCTTTGTTGTTATGAAAATCTTAAGTGAAAAAGAGAGCGAGAAATAAAGGAAGGAAGGAAGGAAAAAAGATTGGCTTTTATTTGCTGGGATAAAAGTGTATCCTTCCAGAAACTCTTTGAGTCAACAAAATTATAAGAGACTCAGAGAAAGATGGTAAAAATTCTTGTGAAATAATTATAATTGTAATACTAAGTGGAAAACTGCAGAAAAGGCATTGTAAAGCCTAGGTATGCAAACGGATCGAGCTGGGAGAACAAAGCAAGCAGTGCTTTGATGGAGGGTGTGGCTTGGGGAGGAGCCTTGGAGGAGGATGTGGCCTTGGGGAGGAGCTTTGAAGGAGGGTGTGGCTTGGGGAGGGGCCTTGGAGGAGGGTTTGGGCTTGGGGAGGAGCCTTGAAGGAGGTTGTGGCTTGGGGAGGAGCCTTGGAGGAGGGTGTGGCTTGGGGAGGGGCCTTGGAGGAGGGTGTGGCTTGGGGAGGGGCCTTGGAGGAGGATGTGGGCTTAGGGAGGAGCCTTGGAGAAGGGTTTGGGCTTGGGGAGGAGCCTTGGAGGAGGGTGTGGGCTTGGGGAGGAGCCTTGAAGGAGGTTGTGGCTTGGGGAGGAGCCTTGAAGGAGGTTGTGGCTTGGGGAGGAGCCTTGAAGGAGGTTGTGGGCTTGGGGAGGAGCCTTGGAGGAGGGTTTGGGCTTGGGGAGGAGCCTTGGAGGAGGGTGTGGGCTTGGGGAGGAGCCTTGGAGGAGGGTTTGGGCTTGGGGAGGAGCCTTGGAGTAGGGTGTGGGCTTGGGGAGGAGCCTTGGAGGAGGGTTTGGGCTTCGGGAGGTGCCTTGAAGGAGGTTGTGGCTTGGGGAGGAGACTTGGAGTAGGGTGTGGGCTTGGGGAGGAGCCTTGAAGGAGGTTGTGACTTGGAGAGGAGCCTTGGAGAAGGGTGTGGGCTTGGGGAGGAAGGTGTGAGCTTCTTTTCCATTTGGATTTGGATTCATATTGGTTGTGCAAAGAACAAGGACTCCTGGGGACTCCCTGGGACTGGGGAAGGTAATTGTCAGCTGTCCCTATACAGACACAGGCTTAGCTCCTTTCCCTGAACAAAGAGGAAGGCCTAGAACCTCCAGGCACCAAAGAAAAGTTCCACTGGGAAGGTCTTGAGGCCTTTAGGGCTGGGAAGCAGGGTAAGGGAAAAGAGTTGCTTATCTCACCACCTGGTCTGTGGGCCAATGTGGCCTTGAACCACTCCTGTGACTCCAGCTAAGGGGCTGGCACTCTTTCTCCCCATCACCCCCAATCACAATGTCAGAAGCAGAGTGCTCACACCTCCAGGTGGCCTTCCTTCCCCTGGTGACCTAAGGTTTGCCCGAGCTCCGGGGTGTCCTGAGCAGACACTCATGGGGAATGCTGGGATCTCTGCTCTCCTCCTGCCCTGTCTCAGTGCCTCACCCCACTGTCCTACTGTGCTCCCTTCGGCTCAGTCCTGTGGACTCCTGGCTGTGCTGCTCACGGGTTCATTGCCTTGCACGCGGCCTGTGTATTGACTACTCTGTAGTTCTCCTTCCAGAGGGCGGCAGTGGTGTGGGCCATGGGAACAAGAGTCAGGAGGCATGTCACTAACGGTCGTTCCACCTCCTGGCCTCAGTTTCTTCATCAATAGAATGGGAATGTCCAGTTCACTAGAGAGTGTGGGGATCGGTTCAGTGGCTGAGCTCTGCAGAGCCCAGAGGGGGCTGACCATACCTGGCTTGGGCCACCCCACCAGAATTCTCATGACTGGAATGAAGGGGATAACCCTTCTGCCAGGCTCTACCTGTCCATACTTTGGTTAAGCCTAGTTTGTCAATCAAGGTGTGATTCGGAGTACAGAAGGCAACCACAATGTCTGGAGGCTAAGCCTAACCCCGAGAAAATGAATGAGGGAAGTGTAGCTTTTAAGTAGAAAAACTCCTATGTATTAAGAGGATGATATGTTTCTTTGAAATTCTGAACAGCCACCTTGTTGCAAAATGTATAGGTTCTACATTCTACTAAAGGGAAAGATCCATGGATAAAAACCTTGGTGTGGCCAATTCAAATAAGAACAGAATGCAAAATATTCCAGCAGTCAGAACTAACTGGCCGTGGAGGGACTGAGGGAGGGCTTGGCAGACTGACTTTCATGATGGGGGGGGGGAAGGTTGACGTAAGTCTCTAGGCGTCACTCAGCTCCACATCCCAGAACCTTTTCTAAAGTGACTTGAGTCCTCCAAAAGGGTCACCACACATGCTGTGTGGTTCCAGGGACATCACAGAAGGAGCACAGCAGCAGGTTATCATGTGGCCCAAGAACCCTCACCACCGGTTTTCCTCGCCCCTTCCCGCAACCGGAACTCTGTTCATGATGCTTGTGACCTCAGAATCAGAGATAGGAAGTGAATCTTCACATTGCTCTTTATTCACGGTGCTGGCAATCTGAGCAGAGAGTGACTTTATTTCATCTCTTTTCCAGTCAGCAGATCTCAGAGGGAGAAAACAGAGAAGAGCCAGTCAGTCCTTCTGGGGTTCAGGCGTCAGCCCCTCTGCTTAGATGTCAGCCACGTTTCTATGCTTCTCTCCGTATTCCTTGTGCTCTTTCCCTCATTCTGTGGCTGGGTGGGCTCAAGAACTTCTAGAAATGCTGAGTCGAGTTAATGTCTGCTGGTTTTGACTTTGTTTTCCTCCAAGGGTGTCTGGGTTGAGGCGGGGACGTATCTCAGAACACACAAACTCCCAATAGTATGTGGATGTTGAGCTCGCAATCCGTGTGCGGGCTGCTTCCTTTTACAACATGGAGGACAAGCGTGTCTCTATAACACAGAATATAAGCATGTCCCCGCAACACCCCGCCTGTCACTTCCCAGCGCAGAGCCCTCACAGAGAAGTTGCGTGCCTGCTTTCTGGCCTGACCGAGCTTTGTACGAAGGTCCTGGCCCTCTGACTGTCAAGATTTCCAAACCAGAATTAACTCATTCTTGTCTGAGTCCCACCACAGCCATTGGCTCCCTCTTCACACTCTACAAAGCAGAGCAGTGGTCCCTAGATACCTCGGCACCCAGTTTGCAGGTGCTCCCAGGAGACACCACAATGCTAGAATCTAGGATATTTCATAACCAGGGAAAGGGCCCTTATCCACAGGGAAATGTTGGGAGGGAGAGGGTGACTTGTTTTGCTGGGAACAAGCGTAGGGCAGGGGGCAGAGAAGGGGAAGGAACAGATCTGAACCACCACCGCCTCCCGGCTGCCCAGAGGTGCTGCAGCCAAACAAGATAGGACCTTGAACAGAGGAAGCCATGAAGCCAGCACTGTAGCTGCCAGCCTGGCTCTGCCTGTTGCCTGATGGGATTGTTTTAGGCAGCTCCAGAGAAGACACAGAGGAAAACCCAGTTCTGGGCTACCCTAGGATTTGCTTGTTACCCTGGGCCACATTAACAGGTCTAGCCATAAAAGGAGGTATAATGGGATTGGCTTAGTCTATTTGGGCAACTATAATGAAACACCTTAAACTGGATAATTTATGAACAACAGAAATTTCTAGGATCAAGGCCCCAGATGATTCAATGCCTGATGGCAACTCTAGTACGTTCTGCTGTCAGGATAGGGTGGACACTTTCCTTGAATCTCATGCAAGTCATAATCATATTTGATCATATTTGTGACATCATATTCTACCACATGACCTATTCCCCTCCAAAAGGCCTCATCTCTCTCTCTCTCTCTTTTTTTTTTTACCAGCGGTGACCGAGTGGCTATGAAGACTTTCTCAAATTATTGAAAATGTTGTCATTTAAATTATTCATGTGTTTATTACATAAAAGTTACATGGAACCTTCAGGTCACTGGAGTACAAACATGGTACAGACAATGAGCCTGACAGAGAAGCAAAAAAAACCAGGCTTGAAACTTAAAAAAAGAAAAAAATTTTGGTTATCCTTGCCAGGCATGAAATGCCTATAATTCCTGCACTCAGGAGGCTAAGGCAAGGGGATCAAGAGTTGGAGACCAGTTTCAGCTATGTCGAGGTCTCATCTCTTAATGTTATCACTGGCAATTAGGTTATTAAATTTCCATAGACAAATGGGGAGAACTTTAGTTGATTGCTGATGCCTACTTCTTGAGGTGGAAGGGATCATAACACACATATGCTCTTTCCGTGTGTGTGTGTGTGTGTGTGTGTGTGTGTGTGTGTGTGTGTGTTTAATTAGAGTTACTTTACAGGAACATGGGTGAGCAGTATTTAGAGGAGCATGGACAGCTAACCATGGGCCACATCACTAAAGAAAGCATCTTCCTTCTCTCCAGCAACCATTAACTGCCAGTAACTCTTCAAGGAGGATGGATTCTCATGAATCCCTCTCTTCTGTAGGACGGAATGCTGACAGGCCAATCTTGTGTGGGTTCTGTAAATTCATGAGTACAACAAAGACCCTGCCATACTTGGAAGAAATCCTTGTACACCAGCCCTTCCTCCTGCACTTATGTTCTTTCCATCCCCTCTTCCGGGATGTTCCCTGAACTTTGAAGAGAGTAACCAATATCTTAAGTTGAATTTCACACAACTGTCCATATTAACATATATGCAATGGAAAGAAACCAGCCATTTCCTATGGAACAACCCACACATGATGTGTATATTTATGCAGCCAAACACAAATTAGGTCCCAACTTAGACTTACTGGGAATCTTTTAAAGTTCCTGTCCAGTGTCAGCAATATCTGCAAGGGATTATATTGGCAGGCTTGGGGACCACCGCTAGCACAGTGCGGGAGATCTACTGAGGCTCTCAGTATCAGCCGTCCCTGCCTTTCACTCACCTTTTCCTGAGCACCTGCAGTATGCTGTAGGTCTGCCTGTTGTTTTCTGAACCTCCCTGCCCAACCCTTCTCACTTCTCACCTCCTTCAGTGTCCAGGCCTCGAAGCTCCCCAGATGACTTAAAGGCGCTTACTCGGAACGTGAACCAGCTGAATGAGAGCTTCCGGGACCTGCAGCTGCGGCTGCTGCAGGCTCCACTGCAGGCGGACCTGACGGAACAGGTGTGGAAGGTTCAGGATGCGCTGCAGAACCAGACAGACTCGCTGTTGGCCCTGACAGGCTTGGTGCAGCGTCTGGAGGGTACGCTGTGGGGACTGCACGCACAGGCGGCGCAGACGGAGCAGGCGGTGGCCCTGCTGCGTGACCGCACAGGACAGCAGAGTGACTCCACACAGCTGGAACTCTACCAGCTGCAAGTGGAGAGCAATCGCAGCCAGCTGCTGCTGCAGCGGCACAAGGGCCTGCTGGACGGGCTGGCGCGCAGGGTGGGCGTTCTGAGCGAGGAGCTGGCTGATGTGGGTGGCGCACTGCGTGGCCTCAACCAAAGCTTGTCCTATGACGTGGCCCTGCACAGCACACGGCTGCAGGACCTGCAGGTTCTGGTGAGCAATACCAGCGCTGACACACGCCGCATGAGGCTGGTGCACATGGACATGGAGATGCAACTTAAGCAGGAGCTGGCTATGCTCAATGTGGTGACCGAGGACCTGCGTCTCAAGGACTGGGAACACTCCATTGCCTTGAGGAACATCACCCTTGCCAAAGGTACTTGAGTGTCCTAACCCAGTCTGTAGTGCCTCCTGCTTGCCCTTCCTGCTCAGGGTTCCCCTTCAAAGCGCATGCCAAGGACCCATCCCAGAGTGACAGCTTAAACTCACACCTTCACCTTCGGGTCTTACACTGTATGACTCTAGAATGTTCTACCCAAACGAGTGGCACTCCAGGGACTGCAGAATGCCACGCTTGAACCTGGTCTACCAGGCAGTGAGAAAAATATGTTTGTCCAGGTAGCGTACATTTGGTTCATTTCCTAAATACGATAGGCAGGTAGTGTGCACTCAGGAGAGGGAGGTGGGAAGACCGACAGATGAAGCCAGACTGGTCTGTATAAGAAGACCCTGTAGCCAGGCAGTGGTGGCGCACGCCTTTAATCCCAGCACTCAGGAGGCAGAGGCAGGCAGATCTCTGTGAGTTCGAGGCCAGGCTGGGCGGACAGCCTCAAAAACAATACAGAGAAACCCTGTCTCCTAAAAACAACAAAAGACCCTGTATATGAATGAACGAAGTTACTGATAAATGGGTAACTACAGCTGTGATGAAACACCATGGCCAAACACAAATTGGGGAAGTCCGTTTGGTCTACATTTCCACATCATAGTCCATCACTGAAGGAAGTCGGAGCAGAAACTTAAACAGAGCAGGAACCTGGAGGCAGCCGTTGATGCAGAGACCATGGAGGAGTGCTGCTTACTAGCTCACTCTCCATGGCTTGCCCAGTCCACTTTCCTATAGCATCCCAAGCCAGCAGCACTGGGGTTGCACCACCCACAAGCCCTACAGGCTTGCCTACAGTCTGATCTTGGGGAGGCATTTTCCTCAGTTTTCTCCTTCTCTTCTATGATTCTAGCTTGTGTCAGTCTGACATAAAACTAGCCAGCACACCCAACAACTGTCAGCCTAGACACCTAATTCTGCTCTTTTCTGATAGACCAGCCTCTCTCTTCTCACAGCTGTGGAAGTCATGAACTCCTGATTGGTCTGGAGGCCAGCACTACTGAAATTGTCCTTTTAAGTCCACCTGCTGCATGTGGGTGTGCTGAGAGCATGCCACACAGCACCTCTCTGGAGATATGTCACTGTCCCCTTGTGTGTTGGCATGGGCACTGAGACCCAGGAAACTTAAACAGCCTGCCCAGGCTGCAGGGTGAGGTGGGAGTAGAGCCAGGTGTGGATTCTGGCCTTGGTGAGCCCATATTCTTGTGACCCCTCATATGCTCTCTGGAGTATTCCCTTCCTTGGTCTGCCTTCCACTCCCATACAGAGCTATATAGAATCATCTGCATCTAACCATGTCATTTTCAGCCCTGTGTCCCCTCCTCATCATGCTGCAGTCCCTTCCCTAAGCTTCCACAGTGAGCACAGGAGGCTATAGTCACCCTGGAGACTCCAGCAGTGCATGTCCATAGTGTTCTTGTATGCTTACTTGTTTTTCTATACTGCTATTGGGGTGGCCTTCCTGTCATAATTCTATCTAATTCCTCTCTAGTTTATTCCTCTCTAAACACACATGTACACATTCATACACACACATATGTATACATACCTATACATACATTTATAAACACATAAATACACTTGAATGTATAACTCACATACACACACAGATACCTGCATACATAAGTCCCATGTGTTTATACATATATACACATGCAACCTCACACATAACTCACATGTACATACACAGGTATATACATGCACAAGCACATATATAAACACCTCCATGCATAGCTCAGGAGCATAAACAGGTTCACATGCACAAATACCTGCATACAATTCACATGTATATGTACACATATGAACAGACACATGTATGTGAATGCATAAGTCATGAGTACACAGATAAGCACATACACACCCAGACACCTACATGCATAACTCACATGCATGCACACACACAGATAGGCACATATACAACCTCCCCTTTGCTCTCTTCTGCCTCAGAATCCACAAATACTCAAGTGCATGTATTTTTCAAAGATGAGAGCATTACATTATCCTTGAACTTGCTCCAAAAGGTTTTCATTCTCTCACTTTGCTGTGCAGTGTTCTGTGGGGTTTGACTCCAGCTCATCTTTCATGAACATTCAGCACAGCACTGTTTGTTTGTTTGTTTTCTGCTCTGGATTTTTCAGCAGCAATGTGGTCTTACAAAATCTGTGGGACTTAAAGGCATAGAGAACTTAGGTTATCAGAGAGAGAGTTATCCCCAGGGTAGGAAGGAAAATCAGAGACATGCCAGAAGACATTATTGGTGCAGCAAGCCTTGAGGCAGGCCACCTAGCCATATGCAGATGACTGGAATGCAAGCCATTCTTTGGAATGGGAATAGGCCTCTAAAATCATCTGGTCTAATCCTCCTGTATCATAGTGGAGAACCACAGGGCCCCGAGAGGGGAAATGACTTAACCAAATCAAATGTCAAGCCAGATGTAGAAAGCACACCTCTTGATTAATGAAAGCAAGTTTCCAAAGCAGCTTATCTGGCAGCTGCTTCATTTTTATAGAAAACGCCACCTAGTGGAAGGCGGAGGGAGAACTCCTCAGTGTGGGGAGTTAAGGAGAGGACCTGGATTCTAGATCAGCCAAGGGGACTCTGGGTTCCAGTTAATAGAAGTGGACCATTGCTGTGAACGGAACCACTTGTAAAAGAAATATATCTGCCCTAGGAGGGTTGGGGTGTGTGCACAGGTCCTGGGAGGGTTATATGACCCTCTGTCCCCTCACCTTCCTCAAAGAGGATGCAGGTTACTCTGAGGTGGGTAGACAGATGCATCCTGTCCCCTTCCTTTGCCCTTGGGGGTCTCTGCAGCAAGGCTTCCCCGGGCTTCTTGGAGGTGCTGATTTTCTGGCTGTGGAATGGAGCGGCAGGCTCTGCCCTGTCCTTTTCTTAGGTCAGATGCTTTGAATGAGGAAGGAGGCACCCTGTGCTCTTCTTACATTGCAGAAAGAGTGGAAGCCCAGGGCCCTGTAGCTTCAGGAAACTGAGGCAGAGCAATCAGCGGCAGGGTCCATGTGGGTCCAGATGGCAGGCAGACCTTGTCCCAACCCCGTCCACACCATAATCTACCTCAGGAAAAGAAACTCAGGATGTGACTATAAAAATCTGAGAAGTAAAAAGGCACGCTCACAAGGCTGGCCACAACCGAGGCTGTAACCACATACACTGCCCTGAGGTCACCTCTGAATGCCAGTTTTAGAGGGTTCAGGGCTTGGAGCCCAGGGTCCCTGGCAGGGGGAGATGAAGAGTGAAATGGGGTGAGGTGCATGGGATGGGTGGGATTTAGCCTAGAGATCTGTGCTAGGCTTCCCCTGCTGCTGAGTTTGACCTGGAGGGGAGGCTTCTGGATTTGGGATGGGGATGGGGCACGGGGTGGGGGTAATGGAGCTCATTTGCATCTTAGTTCTGCCTTTCATTGGCTGTGTAATTCTTGATAAAACAGGTTTCACGTCTTGATCCTGTTATCTGAAAATTGGGATCAAAAATAAGATGATGTCTAAAAACTCCAGCTTCCCATAAATGTTTTATGCAACTCGTGAATTGAAAAGAATGTTGACTACTTTTTCCTTGCTCTTATGCCATTGAGTTGTTAAATAGCTGTCAACTTTGGTTAATGTCTGAGGACAGTGCCAACTTTTGGAATGTATCAGTACATCTCGATCTTGGCAGCCGGGTTGTTTTGTATGTATCAACACCCTGTGATCTCATATACTCATTCATTTGTCAAATATTGGTTGTGCAAGACACTGGTCTGCTGTGAGCCTACATGTTTTGGTTTCCTGGGAGAGCACCACAGGCTGAGGCTAAAAATAGCAGTTTATCGTCTAGAGACTGCAAGCCTTTAACCAAGGCATCCATAGGATCCTGCCACTCTGAAACCCAGAGGGACAGTCCTTCTTGTCGCCTGAGCTTCTGATGCCTGGGGCAATCTTGGTCTGCAGATGCCCCATTCCCACCTCTGCTTCCATTGTCCTGGGACTCTGTCAATTTATAGGACTCCGGTCACAAGGATAGGGTCCACCCCACTCCAGTATGACCTTAACTAGTCACATCTGTAGAAACCCAATGTCCAAAGAAAGGTGAGAATGTTCTGGGGACGGATGAGTTGGGAGTACGATTCAGCCAGTAGAGCAAGAGGTGGGTGCTCGCAGCCTGGGTTCCCACAGCAGGGTCAGGTATTCAGGGTGCCATTGGGAGGAAGAAAGGAAAGCAAGGCTGTCTGAGGGCTGCATCCAAATACCCAGGTCTGCTTCTCCAGCTTGCGTCCATACCAGCGGGCACCATGGGGCCGAGAAAGGTCACCAGCAGAGTGATAAGAAGCATCCCCAGCTCCTAGGTATGAAGTTGGCAGGGAGGACTTCTGAGTTCACCAGCTCGGGAACAGCAGGTGCCAGAATGAGTGGCAGGAAGGTGTGGCGCGTGAGATGTCTGGTCTCCTGGGTGTGGCAGAAAGGATAACTGCCAGGCAGACCTGGACTGAGATCGCGGCTCCTTCACCGGCTGGCTGCCTGTGTGGTCTCAGAGAAGTAACTTCAACACGTGGCATAGGCATGGAGACTGAATTCAGTCTTGTATACTTGAATCTCTGCCACACTGCAGCCTCTCCTGGAAGGAAGCCCTATTCAAAAGCAATTAGAAACTTATCCTCCACCCAGGTGCCCAGATGGAAACCTGAGCTTAGCCTGGCCTCCTTCCCTGCTTCCCCAGGGGAAGCCAAAAGCTGTCCTACTTTCTAACTGCCTGGCCATCCCCACATGTCTGTGATGGTCACTTTCCTAACCCAGGGCTCTTCAACCTTCTACCTTTCACCTGAATGGACCACAACCTCTGCCTCCATGCCTCTCACCTTCCTCCTGTTCCATTCTTCTGTCCCACTCAGCCCAGCCGTCTCCCTTCCTTGTATGCAGACCTGCTGTGGCTCTCCCACCAGGCCCCTCCCAAGGCTTCTAGCACTACCCTGTCAGGGTTAAGTCCAGCACCTAGGCCTCCAATACCCCCAATTTCCCAGCCCACCGAGCCCCTGCTGCTAGTTTTACCAAGGCTGCATCTTTGCCTTAAGCTCCTGTAGGGATTACTTCCTCTGTATAGAGCTCTCCCTTTCCCCTCTGTCTTGGTCAGCCCTGACCACTGAAATGGAGGCTTGGGGGCTTACACCACAGGCATTTCTTTCCAGTTCTGGAAGCTGGAAGACTGAGTTCAGAGTACTAGCATAGTTGGGTTCAGTTGAGGGCTTCCTTTCCTGGTGTATTGTATTCTGGTCTGGGAGAGGGGGGTGGGAGGGGACAGGAAAAAGGTAGAGAAAAGGCTGATATGAGTGCTAGTGCCAAGCTCAAAGGTGTCAGGCAGGAGATGGGAAGTTTATGATGTAGCCCAGGATGACCCTAAGCTCACCATCCCTCTACCCCTGCCTCCTGAGAAAGTGCTAGGGCTACAGGTGTGCTCTACCATAACTGACCCTCCTCATTTTATAAAGCCACTAATCCCATTGAGGAGGATCCCATCCTCATGACCTCACATAAACCCAGTCTCCTCCTAAAGCCCCACATTTCCAAACCATAACCTGGGGGGGTAAGAACTTCAGCATGTGTATTTGAGAGAGGCAGTAGTAGCCCTGAATACCCTCACCCTTCTTTACTTAGCTAGTACCTGTTTCTTCTTGAGATTTCATGGAACCTCCCCTAGTGCCCCCAAAGCTGAGTAACTGGCATCTATGTGCTTCCAAAGAAGAATTCTGGTTCTTCCTCTCATCATAAAGGGAGTTGTTTGCTTTCTCTACTAATACCCTGGCTGTCTAACCCTCTAATCTCATTGTTGTCATCTTTCAGGGCCACCGGGACCCAAAGGTGACCAGGGCAATGAAGGGAAGGAGGGAAAGCCAGGTACTCCTGGATTTCCTGGACTTCGAGGTAATGGGGTAAAGGGATCTGGGGGAATGTTACAAGTCTATCCCTGTCCCACTCTTCCTAGGAATAATAGACTTCCATTGTTCTTCCACCAGGTGACTAAGAGGATGTCAATCAAACATAGAATGCTTTTCCCTAAGAAGTAGCAGGATCTTAAGGGAAGAACACACAAGAGTCCCCAGGTCCCGTAAGCCACTGCCCACATAGGAAATCAGGTGTTCTATGATACTAGGAGCCTGACTTCCCTGCCCCATGTCCGATTCCCCATGGCTGGTGGCAGGAGGAGGGGGGATTTAGGACCTTCTAGAAAAACTATGTTCTTCCTCGGCTCATAGTCTTAGAAGTTTGTTATCGGGGCCTCTGTCAAACATGGCAGTCTGCCCATTCCTGAGCCTGTGTGGCATGTCACATTCCTCTGAGTGAAGAGGCTTCAAAATGATGCAAGGAGAAGAAACCTCATGGGGAAGGTTATTATATATATTTTAGGAATTATTCCTGCCGTATCTCTATGTACATTGCAGACAGGGGAGAAAAGATAGGCCATGGAAGGGGAGCTCTCCAGCCTGACCTCCATTGTGTCCTCAGCTCCTTGGCTGAGGATGCCCTGAGGTTCTCAGGACAGTGGAGCCACTTTTCCTGCCGGATGAATCATAGGGTGAGGAACTTTGGGCACATCTTGCGTTAGGCTCAGAGCTCAATTGCCACAGGACTCTTAGACTCTGGAACAGATGCATCATGTCAAGAAGGGAAAGAAAGACATTCCATCAATTTCTTTGACGTCCTCACACCCTCGGGAGGCCATTGTCCTCTCCCAGTCATTTGATATTAGCCCCAGGGTAATAGCTGGGAGATAGGTTTCTTATGCTGTGGAAAAAAAGTCCAAGGAAAACCAACTTGCTTTCCAAACAGGAAAGAACAATTAGGCAGTTGATTAAGAGAACCGTGTTCTGCAGCGATGACTAGACTTGGGTCAGGACTCTTGGGGGCCTTGGGCTCTTGCTCCATAAAAATGTTTGTTTATTCTGGCTCACCATGGTGCATTCAAGGCAGGCTGTGGCCACTGGGTCTGATGGCCAAGAACCTGGAGCACAGGGTCTAATGAAGTGGCAGACTATGCACCCATTGATTGGTTCTGTGGACATCTTCTAGCTTTGGCCCTTTGTTTGTGGAAAGAAAAGGAATGGTTTGCTTTGTTTTAAATAGGTTCAGGCATTACCTTACCCTTTCTCACTCAATACCATCCCTATAGCATCCTCTTCCTAAGGATCATCAAGCTCCTTAGCCTAAAGTACCACATGATGTTGACCAATCACGAACTTTCTGTAAGAAGGAACAAGACTCAGATCCCGCCTCCAAAGCCCTTTGCTGTGTGCCCAAGTGGCTTACCATCCGTGAGCCTCAGTTTCCTTATTTGTAGTGTGAGTGAAATAATACCTCCATGCATGTCATAAGGAATAAATGAAATTCTTTATACCTGGCACACAGACAGTAATCCAAAAGATGTGTGCAGAATTTAGAAGTCTAGCATGCTTACGGCTATTTGGATGGGACTGACACTACTACCATGCACTCACAGCACTGCTGGGCCTTTCAAGGATGAAGGGCCAGGGAAGGGTGATAAAGGTGCATATGAGGATGCTCTGAGATGACACTCGGGATGCCAGGCAAGAGGAAGCAGAGCCTGTGGAAGACCAAGCTCACATCAGTCATTAAAGCAGACAATGGCAGCCCATGGACCTTTCGGTTCTGAGCCTGTAGCTTCACCCTTGTCTCTTCTCACCCCAGGTCTGCCCGGAGAGAGAGGGACCCCAGGACTACCTGGTCCCAAGGGTGACGATGGGAAGCTAGGGGCCACAGGCCCCATGGGCATGCGTGGATTCAAAGGTAATACTGACACTTGCTGCACCCTGGAGCCTCACATGCCTTCAGTTCTTCAGCAGCCTCGGAGCTCTGAAGTGGGTGGACCAGTGATCACACTCCACCTCTGCCATCCAGCAGAGCTGTGTGTGTGTGTATACAGATTACAGCCCAGAGATATAAGGGAGCCTAATGAGGGGTCTTTCAGAACAAAACTAGGCTGCAAGCCCTTATCGCCCTCCTCACTAGTCACACCACCTCCTCTCTTTCTGCAAGACTCTTCATGGGTCCCCTAGTGCTTACAACTTTATTTCATTTCTCAGGATTACTTTGCCAACACTGTTTCTTCTTTCTGTAGCTAGTCCCCTTGTTCATTTTTAGGGGAGCCTGCTTCAGAGTCAGTCTCCTATGGCTTCCTCCTCATTCGGGATTGTCAGATTGGCCAGGTGTGATGATGTGCACCTTAAATCCCAGCACTCAGGAAGCAGTGGTTCATGGATCCCTGTGAGTTCGAGGCCAGCCTGATCTACATAGCAAGTTCCAGGCTCATCAGAGCTACATAGAGAGACCATGTCTCATATGTTCATATATGTAAGCATGTAGGTATTATATGTATGATATATATGAGATATCAGCAAACATGATATATATGTATCCATATACATCATATATATATGTTTGTGTGTATATCAGCAGACAGGGATACCTGATGTTCCATGCACAAGCTGCCATGATTCTCTTATTACCACGATAACCTAGAAAAACTACTGCTCATCATCCCCACCTTGTGTCTGGGAGGTCCCCTGAACTTGGGTCACTGGAAAATCTTATTCTACTCTCTGGTGATAAAATGAACTGAGGTTTTTCTTTTGTGATCCTATTTTGAAAACGTGTAGCTTTTAAAGAGAGTCCCTGCTTATTGAAAAACAACTAGATAATACAGACACGTTCGAAGAGTCCTAGGAAGTCTTTTCTTCTTTGGCTCATTTGGCTCTTTTGCTCTTCAGAGTGACCACTGTGAACTCTTTGGAGCACACACTGCTGGATGTTTCCCTAAACGTGTTCAACCATGTATGTGGTTGGTTTTGCTTTGCTTTCCAAGCCTGGGATCACAGTAGATACTCTCTCCTGGCAGCTTGCTCTCTTCACCCACGGTATGCAGCTACGTTGGGCTTTGGCTAGCAGATGTGTGTCTGGAAACCCTTAAAATAGAACCGCCCTTGCCTTTGTATTGCCCACTGAGCAGTGCCAGGGCGCTCTCCTTTATTGGGTGAAGAGGAAACTAGGAAAAGCTCTGATCTTTTACCCCAACCCTGGAAAGGAAATTGGAGTCCTTGGAAACTCTGCCTCATGTTTTACAGTCTCCCCCACCAGAAAAACCAGGCTGACTTATAACCTGACTATAGACAGCCCGAGCTCAGTCCCCTTCCACATTATGATTGGGGGAATGAACTCGGGTGTGACTTTCTCCAACTTTGCTTCGTGGTCCTCCTGCCCCATCCCAGGCATCCCTTGATGTTATGTGGCAGATGGGGCACTCTTGTACTTTGACTAGAGGGGGAAGTAGAGGTTCTCACTCTTTCCCGTGTGATCAGAGCAGATGTAATAATTTTCTTCCCCACAGTGCCCTCTGGTGGCTGCTGGCTCCCTGCCTGAGGGTTTCCCTAGCTGTGGGTTAGCAAATCCAAAGAGAACATCTCAGTAACAAGCAGGGTTTGTTTCCACTCCTGATGCCTGTTTTTCTTCTGTTGCAGGTGAGCGAGGCCCAAAAGGAGAGAAAGGAGAGAGAGGAGAGATACATGGTAAGGGAGTTCTGCTGGCTTACTGAGTGCTGTGGGGCATAATGGATCCCCATAAGGTCAGGAGTCAATTGCTGGAGCCATGCGCTGGGATTTGAACCTCAAAGAGCTTCCCTTTTTCCTTCTTTTCTCTTTTCTTAGCCTCCACTGGCCCAGCAATAGGCACTGACAAATCCTAGGGGCGATGGCCTGGGGTCATATGGATGGATCTAGAGGTCCCCTCCCAGCAGCTTCACTAGCTGCCTATATATAGCCTCTGGGTGTCCATATTCATCTATAAAGTGGAGAAATTAAGAGTCCTGAGTTCTTAGGACCAAGGGGATAACTGACTGAGTTGGCCTATGTCCGATTCAGGGCTCACAAGGTATTGGCCATTAATATCCCATGTCATACACCAACTCAGACATACTTCCTAAAATCCCTGGAGATGTTTGATAAAACTCAACTTCAGACTTTGCAGAAAGAGCTCATGCAATGCTCCAGGAAGACTACAAAGACTAAGTAGAACCTCTTCTGTCATCGTCACTACTTCTGGGGCCATGAGGCTAAAGACCTTTCCCTGGGTACCGCACCATTTGACGTGGGAATGGGTGCCTCTGCTGAAACCCTTCCTGTAACAGTTGCAAGCTTCATGATCTAGCTGGACCACATTTCTATGACATGTATTTTTCCCTAAAGTGCTACGTGTAGACTCAAGGGAGATTGTCAGGGAAGAACGCACATAGACCCTTCTAGCTAAGTTCCAAAGAAAAATGGAACACCCAGCACATGGAGCCATTGGCTCTGAGTCTGTGTTCAGGAGGGCATGGGTGTATTAGTGTGTCTGTGAGCACCTGTGCTTTAGGCATTGCTCTCGGGGATGTGGCCTGGGTACAGGTGCTGGGGAAGTACAATCTGGAACAATACTAAAGACCTCCCCCAAAGGACAGGATGGTAAATGCCGTCTTCAGGGCACTGCCTCCTCCTGCGCTTAGTGTGGAGTGTTTGTGACAGAACACTGGCGAGGTGGTTGAGAAGGACTGGACTGTGGCATTTAGCTCTGAGAAATAAACAACTTGTGTGGGGTTGGGCAGGAAGGGAGGAACTGTATGGAAAGATGACCTTTGAGAGTGAGATCAGAAATGCTGCCCACATACCAGAGGGGTCTCACCAGGAGCTGTCTGCCAACTGTTCTCTAGCTGACTTGAGAACCCGCACAGGAGGTCACAGCCAGTAGAGTGAGCATGGTCACTATCTTCCTGGACAGAACTTGGGCTCTGAGACCAAAGTGGTAGAGATAAAGTTGAATGGCATGAGGTTCCCCAGCTAGAGGCTAGGGAAAAGCACCCATCCGCTTGACCTTACAGCCTATGGACTGCCCAGCCAGGGGCTGACATCAGCTCTGGATGTGTTTCCCAGGGCAGGGAAGGTTTCTTTCCTGTCTTCAGGAGACTACACCCAGGCTGGAGTCCAGGGCTCATACAGAAAGCCCAAGCCACAGCTTGTACAAAACTCTTCAAAGACTCCAGAAACAGACTCCTTGTGTCATGGAACTGGAAGGTGAAGGGGCTTGGCAGCCTGGAAGTTATACTACAGTGTGAGAAAGGGCACAGACAGGAATTCTAGAACCATGAAACTGGAAGATTGTCATTTACCTTCCCCACTGTCAGAGGCCCAGAACTGAACACTGGGGCCCTGGTTTTCCTGAATTTGGAATGAAAAGTCAGGCCACAATCTTGGGACTGTGGAGTCTTGGATAATAGGGCTGGGCTCCCCAAGGTTCCTAGTGAGTTTCTCCTCCCATATAGCGCTAGATGCTGACAGAAGGCCCAGGCTGGTGGGACCTTTGCCTCGATTCTGAACTGAAATCTGAATCTCTGATGAAGCAGGGTTGCCTTCCCACAGCCTCAAGCTTCCTAGGTTGCTTCAGGCCAAGCCAAGTCATATGTAGCCTTCTGCTGTGTTTCCACAGCCCTCCTGTCCCTGAGGTATTAGTTATATCCCTGAGACCAACCTCTGAGGAGAGGCCCACAGTTCATCTTTCAGAAAAGGGTGGAAATTCTGAGAGACGCAGTGCCTACTACTGTGGCTTTCTTAGTCATTCCCTGGGCCTGGGCAGTCCCACTGTGGGATGTATGGGGTAGGAAGTGTGAGTTCTTAGTACCAGAGACCTCAAAACCCTGAGTAGGCGATGCAAAGCCAGGTCATCAGGCTGAGTTCTGGCAACTAGCCATAGGCTTGAAACCTTTACCAAATACCTCAGGTTCACCTGTATTGCAAATCCCCAAGGTTCCAACAAGGAGTGTTACTATAGTAACACCATTCATGACAACATCAAGATGGGCACCTCTCACTGGCTAGTGGACAATGCATGGTATTAGAGAAAACTCCTAGGGGCCGTGTTTGCAGTCAGTGTTAAGGTTTATTTTAGAACAAAAATCTTACTGGTGTTTACCCATATTAAATCTGGAGTCCTGGGATTTGAGATCTGGGGGTTGGCTAGGTTTCAGGTCACTTCCTGTCCCGTCCCCAGCTCCACCCGTGCAGGTCATCCAACAGAGACCAAGAACAGAGAAGGGGAGGGACTGTAAGGCTACCCGCTTAGACGAGGGCTGCCCTGGGGCTGGGACCCAGATCTCTGGGTGCTTTTCTTAATGAGAAGTAAGGAATTTTATTTTCCCTTCAGGCCCTAGACATCAATCATCCCAATAAATGCTTGGCTTTTGGAGATTTGGCCAGGGAAAAAAACAAGATCCATACGTACATCTCAAGGAAGACAAACGTTTGTTTTACCTTGGTATATAGTCCGTTTGCAAGATAAATATATATGAGCGTAGGTAAAGTTTTGTTTAAATCCCAGGGCATGAATTTTAAGCAGCGTAGAAGCTCAGATTTGCTTAAAATTGTTTTCTTAGTTTGGCTTCACATGGGAAAAAAATGCTGTGCAGCCAAATGTGAGTGAATCCCAAGAAAGTATTAGTCAATAGTTATCATTGGAAGTTCAGAAAACTGGGAAAATGCTTAATATTTTATGTGTGTTTTGTTGGTTAAGTAAAGGGGGTTCTGGGCCCCAGAGGACCCAGACCCGGACCCAGATCTGCAGGCACGCAAGCACCCACGCACGCATGCAACAGCAAAGGAGGCTCAAATGGCCTCCCTTATTTCTGTCAGAATGAGAAGGTAGGTGTGTAGATGGAAGGAAAGTGTGAGTGAAGGGAATACACGCGAGAGAGAATACACATGAGAGAATACACGCGAGTCAAAGAATACACGCGAGTCAGAGAATACACGTGTGTGAGAGAATACACGCGAGTCAGAGAATACACGCCAGAGAATACACGAGAGTCAGAGAATACACGTGAGTCAGAGAATACACGCGTGTGAGAGAATACATGCATGTGAGAGAATACATGCATGTGTGAGAATACACATGAGAGAATACACTCGAGTCAGAGAATACACGCCAGTCAGAGAATACACGCCAGTCAGAGAATACACGAGTGTGAGAGAGTACACGCCAGTGAAGAGGTGCCCGTTCCTTTGGCAAACGTCTACTGAGTGTTCACACCAGGACTCCCATCCAGCAGAGGAGAGAGGCTTGTTAACAGGACAGAAGGCCTCCAGGAGAGTTATGGTAGAAGTGGGGGCAGGGTCAAGGAGGAGCTCTGACCCAAACACTGATGGGAAAGCGGAAGTCCAGTAGGTACTTGTGGAGAATGACGACAGTTCAGGTGCAGGGAGCTGGACATGGAACTGCTGCTCCTGATGATGGACTGAATGAGAGTCTAAGGTATGAGAAACAAAATCCAAGCCCAGTGGACAAGTAAGGATCCCCACCCCCGCCCCGGCCCCAGAGCTTTGCAGTGGTCAGGAGGTTAGCTTGACCCTCTCTCTGCCAACACAGGGTGTAAGTAGGAATGAGCACTGGAAGGTGACGGGGGAAGCACCAACCAGAGGCTGTATCACCCCTGGTGGCCCTCCTCCTTCCCAAGACCCGAGGCTCGCAGGTGGGCCCTTCCTCCCCTGGGAACCGTCCCCTCTGGATGCCCAGGTTGCTCCTCTGCTCCAGCCCCTGCCTGGGTCTAAGGCGCCCTGTCTCTAACCAGGTCTTTTTCAGAAACATCACCCCAAACAGAGACAAGACGCAAACTGCATGGAACTTTAAACACACAGTATGGGCCATGGGGCAGCTCAGAGAAAACTCTAGTTTCTTCTGAGCTTGTTCGCATGCTAAGACCTCAGGCTGGCTTTTCTCATTCCACAAGTCTCCTGGCACCAGCCAGATGTCCTACTTTATCTGCCTGAAGTTAGTATGGACGCCTGAGGTTCACGGGGTCCCCACTTTAGATCCAGTGCTGAGATTGGGGCTTCCCATGACCTCCTTGGGTTCAGTCAGTTGCTAAAATGTCTCACAGAGCAGGCACCTCCTCCTGTCTCCTCCCTGACAAAGGACATTCTTGCCATCCCTGGTCATCTGGAGAGGCAGGAATGGGGTCCGGTGCCCAGGCAAGGAGCTAATGCAGAGGCCAATGCTAAAAGAACACAGCAGTGCTGAGGTCATTAACATTAACTGCTAATGTCTGTGTTCCAAACACATCTAAGTGAATACAGAAGTCAACCACCAGTGCCTGAGAAGGGCAGCTAGTTAGGAAACAATAAACAAATGAATGTTTGGCATTTGTTCTAGGCAAGAGTTAGCAGCCAGGGGCATATTTAGGATTTGGGAGAGCTGGCTGCTTGAACGGTTTTCTTGTGGGGGTATTCATGCCTGCTAGTCAAGCCAACCAGTTTACTGTCCAGCATGCAGCTCATCTCCATGGCTCTGTGCCCATCAATCTTTCTGCCCAGGGCCTGAAGGCAGCTTCCTTAGGATTCAGAGGGCCACTCTCTTGGATTTGCCCTGCAGGAAGACCCTTAGTGATCCAAAGCTCAGGCAAAATAAAGAATGCCTTGGCGGTGCTGGAGAGGTGGCTCAGCAGTTAAGCAAGCTTGCTGCTCTCCCAGAGGACCCAAGTTTGACTCCC